CCCTCTCCCCTCTCCCCTCTCCCTGTCATCTCTCTCTTTCTTGTTGAGACAGGGTGTTGCTCTGTAATTCAGGCTGGCCTTGAACTCAGGGCAATCCTCCTGCCTCAGCCTCCCTAGTGCTGGCATTACAGACATGTACTACCATGCCCAGTCCATTGCTGTTCTTTAGAAAGCTTGGTTCTTGCATATGAAGCTGCTAGCATGGTACAGAATGGGACACACAGGAAGCAGGAATGTGGACAGGAGATCATTGTGTTTGTTTCAGTAAGAGCTATGAGTTGGAAGCAAGACAGAATGAGGAATCTAAAAAAAGGCACAGTTGAGGCTTAATAGATAAGATTGGCAAAAGCTTGTGTGCCTCTGAGTCTGTCACAGAGCAGGGCTGAATGATTACGGTGGGAATCCTCGCCGTGCCGAACTAGACTAGAGGGACCCACACCGAGCAGGAGTTGTGTAGGGAAGGAGCCGGTCGGGGGTAAGATGGGGTGACTCGGAGCGCTGCTCAGGTGGACATGATCAGGGGAAAATTTCTCAGGTGCTGAACACAGAATTTTAAAAGTGGAAGGATTACTTCTTTGAGGGATAATATAGGAAAGAAGGGAAGTTTGGTTTTTTTTTTTTTGTTTTGTTTTTTGTGTTGGTAGTGCTGGCCCTAAGGATGGTAGGCAAACATTCTACAACTGAGTTATGCCACCAGCCCATTTTTGGATCTTTAAAGGTCATTGAAGGTCCTGATTTAATGGTTTAGAGATTAGTTATAGAAGTTAGGTTGCATGGTTTTTAAATTCTTTCCTGGGCTCAGGAAAAAACACGGGGTGATCAAAATGTATGGCTTCATGCTTTCGGTGACACAGCTGGGGAGTAAGGTGGGTGAAGACACACCGCACTGTTTTTACAAATCCATCTTTTTCTGGTGGCACTCAGCAGCAGCATCACCGAATTTTTGATCATAGCTTGTAAAGACACAAAAGCGAACTTCCAGCACTGCTTTAGAAGGTAGCAAGGACTATGGGACGAGTGTGTTCAAAGCCAGAGGGAGTATTTTTGGGGGGATTCATGGCAATGTGTCTTTTACTGTAGTAATTTAAACAAATATTTAAGTACCACGATATTTATATCACTGTATCACTATATTTTCGATCACGCTTCCCATTCCTAACTCTGTCCTGAACTAAGGACTCTTTCCATGGCCCAAGAGAAAATAGAAAAATAGTTCTCTAGGTGGAGATAGCATTGTGTCTTTTAATTAGTAAGGACCACATAGCAGTTGCCTTTGATATCTTTCTTTCGAAGAAAAACGGGCTGTAGATGAACGTCGCGCAGAGGTTGGGAACCGGGAGTTTGCCCTGCCGCTCACGGTGCCGTTGTTCATAGGAGGTCAGCCCGTTCAGTTCAGCTGCTAGGTGAACCTCTTGCAGCCACGTTTAAAGCATTTCATCCTGCTTCCTGGTGGTTAGGTGGCTTACTGTGCTTTTTATTTTTTAAAATTAAGAAACTTTTTTTTTTACAATTCTGCCCACACTCTGTCATCTTTTGAGGCACTTCTTGGCTTTGCCACTTGGTCTTCTCATGACCCTCATGCAGGCATTCCGCCTGGCGGCCTTTTCAGAGTCCTGTTCAGGAGGGCTCAGCCTCCCTCAGCCTTGGGTCCAAGGCTCGATGCTCCTGGCCGACCATTCTCTCCCTGCAGGGAGTCTTCCTGGCAAGGGGTCCTGAGAGAGCCAGCGTTATGCAAATCCCTCCTGGCTGCTCCTTGCGCTGGAAAGCAATGAAGCTGTTGCAGTCGCTTTGTGCGTGTGACCAGGACAGGTTAAAGCAGGTGGGAAGAGGGCACAAGATGATGTTGGCGATCGGACAAGAGAAAGGTCACTCTCCTGAGAAAAAGTCCTCTTAGATGAACCACAACAAGTGTTTTGATAGTGATCTCTTCATAGGAACGAGACATTTTAGCACATATCAGCTGTCTTTGGCTTAACCTCTGGCTGCATGGCTCAAACTAACTATCATTTATTTAGCTTGTAATTCTGCGTATCAGTTGGATCTTTGGATCTGGCCCGCCTCTGCTGGTTGTTCAGGTGTGCCGTCAGCTGGCGGGTCCCCTGGGGTGGCTGGCTCAGGATGGGCTTTGCTGGGACTCCCAGCATCTGGATTCCTGTGGCCTCTTGCCCTCCGGCAGGGTTCTCTGAACTTTGTTCAATGTTGGCGGCGTTCAGAGAGAGCAGGAGGGAGCAAGCCCAGAGCACAAATGTCTTTCAGTCTCTGCTTACACCACGTTTGCTCATTTCCCGTTGGTCCAAGCGAATCACCCTGGTGCGCTGGGCACTCACAGCTATAGGGCGAGGGAACAGGCACCCAGGGGAAAAGGGGTTTCTGGCTGTGTAGGCAGTTACACATGGCTCCAGGGACTGCACGGAGCAAGAGGTGTAGCCTTGAACCTGTTGGGGTCCAGATTTTCAGGCAGTTAATTAGAAAAAACATTAGAGTTGTACGGTTGCCCCAGAGGTATGCAATCCATTTAATCCTCAAGGCCAGAGGTCTCAAGCTGGCAGTGGATAGGAAGTAAGTTCTTTTTTTTCTGCAACATGTTTAAAAGCTTTTTTGTTTTTTCATTTTGAGCCAACATTTAAAATCAAGAGGTTTTGCATAGCTTTTGGCTTTTGAAAAAAGGATGATCTGGCAAGAATCATGCAGAGCCCAGCGCTACTTATTTTTCCCTGGAGCCTGTGCTTTTCAGTCCGCCGTGCCCGTCACAGTCTTCCTGTCGCCTCAGCCCTGAAGCTGAGTGTCATCTGCCACTTGTCAGAGAAATTGTACTGTGGATTTTCTCACAGAAGAGAAACTTCTGCCACCATTTCTAACAAAAGAGGAACAACGAAAGATATACACAGAGTACTACATGGTCCAAGAAAAACAAGGCAAGTGCATTCCTTTGAGTAAGAAGAGAATCTTCTTGTGTGTTTCATCTTCTAGTGGCTGACTAGCTGGGCATGGTGGTGGTGCAGGCCTGTATCCTAGCACACAGGAGGCTGAAGCAGGAGGATCGCCATGACTTTGAGGCCAACCTGAACTACATAGTGAGACCCTGTCTCAAAAAGTACCCAAACGAACAAACAAACTAACAAGAAATTCCACAACACTGTAAAGTTTTTTCCTTACAAGGAACCCCAGAGAACCAGTCAGTTCTTATCTATAGGCATTTGAGTTCTTTTAGTGTCTTCCTCTTTGAGGGCGTAGGGTCAATTTTATAGGCATTTGTAGACTGACTGTTAGCATCATCTTTAGTTCACTGTTACTTTCATTTTGTCCTAGTTTTCTTATCTACTTTATTTTTTATGTTTTTGTGGTGCTGTGGATAGAACCTGAGGCTTCACACAGGCTAGGCAACCACTGAGCTATCTACACTCTCAGGCCTATTTTTATTGTTTTAAGTTGACATTTAAAATATTGTAGTTTTTTTGGTTGTTGTTCTTGTAAACACTAAATTTGAAGCTTTCTGGCTGTTCACAGGTTTATTATAAGAAGACAGCACGGCGTCTGACATTTAATCATGGCACAATTCCCATTTCACTTCCCATACCCCTGCCCTGTCTGATTGTATTCCGGGGTACATTGACCTTGAGCATTTTTTCACCGAAGCTATCTGTGAGCTTCATTCTTTCACTGCTTCCATTTGTATTTTTGTTCTTTTACTTGCTTTGTGTTTGGCTTTCTTTTGTTTTTTTTTTTAAGGCACTCACCGTATCTGTTA